AATATTAGCGGTACACGTGGCCGATAACACAGGTTTTAAGAAAATTCCCTAAACAAAGGGAGGCAAGTGGAAAAGGCCTGAGCCCATTAATTACTAGCTCTTTTGGTGATCCTGTAAAATGGATGCCCACTCTTGAGAGTATTAAAAGTCTCATTTTAGCCATGTTTTCATTTCCCAGTCCGTCATTCGAAATTTGGACGGATGAGACATTTCTCACAATGTAGGGATATGTCTGGGATTTCTATACCCATGAGGAGAAAAGGGCTAGCTTAAGAGAAGGCGCGCCCCACCCAATTTTGGGTGGCCTCTTGAGCCCAATCTCTTCACAGATGCTATAGAATAAGCCCAAGACGGTTTTTTCTTTAAAAGATGGCAAAAATGACACAATGAAAATATACAGGTTGTGTTTGGACAATAGAATTAATGTTTCCATAATAATGGGTAATTCTTGAATAATAAGCTTCCGCATTCCAAGGCTGTCGTCCAAATTTTGGGGGCACTCCTGTTTTCATAAAATAAAATAAAATAAAATAAAATGAAATAAAACTTTAACATTAAAGCCACTGAATGTCAGTAAGTTGTCTCTGTTACAACATTTGTCAAAAGAAAATGCCTTGGATAGTAATTGGCTTTAAAATCTCAAAGTTGTTAAACCATAAATAGATGTTGTTAGGTCGGAGAGAGCCCAGGATCAGACACATGCAGACGTGTGATGAGATAATGGACTCTCCCTGACATTTCTAACAGATCAGCGGGCCAGACACAGATACTGGCTTCTCCCTGAATCAACACGACCCCCACACAGATACTGACTCCTTCCCGAATACCCCTGCTGACCCCCTGCAGCGGAAACTTCCTCAGCTGAATACCTCAGCTCATGTCCCCGCCCCTCACCCAACCGCAGTATAAAAAAAGCGCCCCCCTCCCTGTTGGCGTGAATCCACGTGCCCTGTCTTTGGGGTACGTGGGTCTCCTGGGGACGCAATAAACCTTTTCCTTTTCTTTCTTTTTCTGATTCACTGGACTCTCTTTATTTCCTACGCCGCCTCCTGATCCACCTAGCCTAACAGATGTAACTAAAATGAAGAATTTGTGGTGAAGCTTTTCAGTAATAATCATAAATATATTAATGATGAAGGGCCAGTCACTCTTCTCCCTGTAAAAGTGGAGAACCTGGCAGCAGCAACCCTAGATGTTATCTCCAAGGAAGAATGTGGCACCTGCTCCCTCCTCCCCCTGCCTTTTTCGCCAGCCTCATATATAGTTTTCCAAAGTCTTTGGTAACTTAAAGCTTTAGAACATTGCTGAATTAAATAATAAAAATTATTAAATATCTAGGTATTTTAAAATGACAAAAATACTGAAATATTAATCTGAGTTTGCCTCATATGAAAAATCTAGAGAACAGATTTGAATCTATTAATTAAATGTCTTGTATTTTAATTGAAATATATCCTTAAAAATATAAATATATTACGAATCTAAGAAATGCTAAGTATTTAACTTGCCACCAAAAAATTGAGGCTTCTAGAGTTTAAAGTTCAAATTAAGTTGGAGGAAATTATATGATTGTAATAACAAAATACATAAAGTATAGAAACTCATTTTTGAGAAAAATAATTCTTATATTTTCTCTGGAGAAATTAATAGTTCAAAATATATTGTAGTCCTTATGTGTACTATGTGTGGTAAAATTTCAACCTAGGATATAATATTTTATTGGCCTAATTAAAAAACAGGATTAATTCTATGGCCTGAACCAAATTTTTAGTATTAAAATCAATTTAAATTTAATTGATATCTTTTAGAATAATTATAAAAGGTATGTTGATAAATGTCAGTCTAAAAAATGCTGGCTGTTTACTTTTAATTACCATTGGAAAATTAAGGTTTAAATATTGTATAGTTTTAATAATAGAAGGCAGAACATACATTTTAAAGGAAAAGGAGGAAAAAGTTCTATACAAATAGCTGAGGGTATATACAAGTTAATGACAGAAAGAAAGAATATTAGAGTAGAAATGCATTTTTAAAGGACATAAGAAAAGGTTTGAAGACTAATTCGAAAGTATAAAATTTATGAAAGTTATGTATATAATGAGAAGAAAAAAAAAGAAATTTTGAAAGAGAGAAATAAATTCTAAAATTAACTATTTGCAAAAGTTGTAAAAGGGTCATAAAATCTCAGGGAAGTTTAAACAAAGGCTAGCCCACTACCCTTATCTCCCCTGCCAGGGACAGAGTAAATGGCTAATACGGAAAGGGAGGGCAGGACAAAATTGACAAAAACAGACATTATGCCTCAGACAGCCTACTCTTCAGATAGGTTGGGGGTGGGACGGCATCTGTACTTCATAGGTCAAATGTATAAATTTGCTTACTTTACTTTTTCAATGAAGTTGCATACTTTAATTACTTAGTAAATTAGCTTTACACAATATAATCAAGGTCTCATATAAACTCACTTATATGAGAAGCCAATATTTTATAGCCAGTTGATTCTAGTAAAGTCCAAAGTAAAATTTGCATACATATGCAAATGAGCACTAGCCAAAAAGAATGCTGTTTAAGATTAAATTTTAAGCTTAATAAAAGGAGAAATCTTAAAATCTCTTCCGATACCATTTACAAAGTAAAGTAAGTTATTGTTCAAGCATTAAATCTCACCATTAATGAGACACCATAACTAAAAAGAGAGCTACTTTTACTTGAAATGTATGCATGGCAGTATTGGCTAG